TGTGATTCTATTCTATGATTCTATTAGAAACATGCTGGGCACAGCTGGGATGAGCTGTCCTTGGTCACATTGAGACTCAGAGGTGCTGGTCTCACGGTGTGCTTATGCTGCTTTCTGGGACCCCAGGTACTCTGTTCGGTACAGGCCAGTGTTGCAGGGGAGGGATTAAGTTACATTTTAAAATAAAATTAAAAAAAAAAATGGGGAAAGAAAACCAAGAGTAGAAAGACATTCTGAAATCAAATGTTTAAAAAACAGAAGCAGAAAAAATGCCTTTTGTTTCAAAGACCTTGCGAAATCTGAAACGCCTCTACTTCCTTCCTCTCTTGCACCAATGTTTACTTCTCTAACAGACATAAAATACCTTTGTGTTTGAGATTCAGACAGCAAGTCCCCCTTGTGTGCTTCTGTAGGCTTCACCGGGGCTGTTGTCCCGGCCCCTTACAGGTTAAAAATCCCCATAAGACAGCGGTGGCCATGTCGGAACTGTGGAGGTTTTGCACTGCCCATTAGCTGTTTTTTCATTTAGCAGAAGGAGCCGAGACGGTTGAAGGTCTTCAGCGAACTACGATTCCTTCAGCCCCCACTATTGGTGGAGGTGCTTCTCTTGGCTTGTTTTTCCCTCCCTCTGCTGTTCAGGCCCTTAAGATGGTTTTAAATGGTCAGGCTTAATTTCATTTTAAAATAATGAGATTTCAACCACATTCGAGTAGGAAAGTTGAAATACGTGTCACTGCGGCTCTTCTTTGGGAAAGCTGAATTACGAAAAATGAAATCTCTGCTTTTTGAATGAGAAACTTAAATATGGGGAGGGGATTTGTGTTGAAGACGGGTCTGTTTTTTACAGTAACACTTTTTTTTTTGTTGTTGTTGCCTTTTCAACAGGTGACAGAGCCGAGCAATACACTATTCAAAATTGATAATCTAAAGGAATCGACACTGTATTGTTTTAGAATTCAAGTAGAATTGGTAATATCTCCAACTCTCCAGTTACTTGGACTGCAAAGTGCCCCGGAGTGTTACGAAACTACAATCAGTGGTATGAATCTGATTTTGCTGTTTTTTTATCTCCAATGGGATGAGTGTAGAACACGAGTCTTACGGCTGTGTGACTGGTGGCTTACGTACCCGCACTTCTCAGGAGTGCTAAGAGAGCACCACGCATAGCGGTTCACCATTGTCCTTAATGGCAAAATAACAAGGAGTTTTTCAGTCAGTAATGGAGGGTGTGTGTTGTTTTATTCCTTCGTAAGTACTGCTGTGGGCATTACTTTCTAGAAGCATGCAAAGAGGGAAAATACAAATAGTTGGTCTTCAGAGGAGGTCGCTGATGGAGGAGATGGTGTTACTCTTGAAAATCCTCAGCCATGGCCTCCTGCAGGACAGGAGCTCCTTCTCTGCCCTCTCCTCTTTTACTTCCTTCCTTCTCCGACATCTCCAGCTCCATGGTTTTGTACGGGCTAAGAGTGAAGGGCGGAGAGGGCATGTGCAAGATGATGGAGTTTGCCCCTCTCCTGAATCTCTGCACGTGGCCACCCACACACAGGCACCACCGGGGCTTAGCGTGCTTGGCACCCACTGGAAGATGGGTAGCTAAACCTGCCCCTGTGGCTTCTGAAGCCCCTCACATGCTGACCTCAGGGTGGCACTGACCCCCCACTGGGCCACAAGCCCCACAGCTGCGGGGCTGGAGGTTCTCCCTTTGTGATGGGAAGCGTGTGCTCGGAAGGAGAAGCCCCTGGCCCGTGCTGACAGGGTGAGGGTGGAAGGGCAGATGGCGTTCCCCGCCTGCGCGCCCGCAGCGATTCCTCCAGCTCTCCTCTACCCTGCTAGTGGGCCGAGTCGAGGCTGGCCTTAGGCTGCGTGACCGAGAGGCAGAAGCTCCTGGGAGCTGATGACTTCCACCTGGAATCGCAAAACAAGCTACTTCTGGACACAGGTGTTCGGAGTGCATCTACAGTAGGGTTGGGATCTGAGCCTTGGAAATCAGGCTCTGATTACCAGATACAGTAAACTTCAGGTGCTGTGTATTGGTTTACATTTGATGATGTATAAATACCAACCTACCCTATATACATGCGTCTGTGTTTATGTTCTTTTTCAGAGGCCACCAGAGCTGGGTACATTATACTAATATTTGTGGTGTTGTTCCTTTTTGTCAATATGGTGATAGTTGGTTTGTTTCTTCTGTGGAGACACCACAAAAAAATTAAGTATTGGTCTCGGCCACCTTTAGAAATCCCATCACACTTCGAAGAGGTATGTGGAGACTTTTTATATTTCCCTCCCTCCCCCCCCCATAGAAGACAGGGATGATCTCAGAGTGAATATGAACAAAGGAGCTAGCTGTTGGGTAACAGGGATAGGTACAGGTAAGTGGTGTAAAGGGGTACTTTTCTCCTGTATGATCTCCCACTTTATTCCGCTTTTACTCAACTGCATTGGTTTTTTCTCTGCACTGAGATAACAACTGCTGCTCTAATCCTGTTACAAAACTGGAGGTCCTCTGTTCCTTGAATACCCCTTGTCTTTGCTTAACTCAGTCATCAGAGAAGTTGTTGCCCAGAGAAGCTGTGGATGTCCCACTCCTGGAAGTGTTCAAGGCCAGGCTGGATGTGGCTTTGAGCAACCTGGTCTAGTGGAAGGTGTCCCTGCCCATGGCAGGGGGGTTGGAACTGGATGGTCCTTAAGGTCCCTTCCAACCCAAACCATTCTGTGATCAGGCTGCTCACTCTGAGCAAAAAGCTTGTGTGTGCTGCAGGTCACACACTCGGGACCTAGGCCTCTGATTAGATACCAAGCGCAGAGGAGCGAACGCTGATCGTTTGAAGAGCAAGGACTGGCTTGAAGACAAAGGATTAACTAGGGGAATGTTCTTGGGCTTTTTCTTTTTTTCTTGTAGGTTTAGCAAGAGTGCGATGAAAAAGTCATCCTGGGACTTTTTTCTCCTTACAGCTCACACATTTCTGTACTAAACGGTACTGTTTCAGTCCTGTTCATCTTCCTCTTTTTAGTGTTTAAACAGGAAGTGGTCTTTAAGCAAAGTTCTTGATTTACAAGTTCCCATTCAGCACACATCCCGTGTTTTTTAAAAGCTTGTATTTATTTGCAGCTCTTGAGGGATATTTTTTGGGTGTGTGTCTGTGTGGCCATTGTACTGCGGTAGTTCTCGGATTGGGGAGCTGGTCTTCCACATTTTTATGTGGACGTGTGGGTGAATGAACCCAGACTTTTTGCCGAGCCCTGAGTAAATGGCTTTCTCCCTTCGTGCTGCCTCAGCTGACATCTCATGGGGGCTCAGTGGAGTCAGGTGCATCGCCTGTCAAGCCAAGTGTATCTCGTGGGGGGAAATCCTTGTGCAGTGTATTAAAATAGCGCAGCATTTCATGCGAAGGACTTGCAAGAACAGAGTCTATCATCGTGTGTTCTGGTGTAACTATTAATTTGGAAAATAGGCAGCAAAAGCAGATACTCTTGAACAACGGTGAGCCTGGTTTGGGGCAAAACACTGGTAAGAAATGAAGGAAAAACAGTAAAATATGCAGTAATTTTTAAAACATGTATTTCTGAAATGGATCAACCACCCTGGGGCTTCTCCTCTTAAAAGACATGAGTACAGAATGCCAATTCTTTTAAGGCAGTTTTGTACGTACTCTTAAAATTTTTCAGAAAAGTCTCATGCTTCCTTCTTTTACCGAAGGATCTGAGCTTTCAGTGTCTGAGTTACAGGGAGCAGTTCTACCGCAGGAACGCCTTCACGTGGCGAAGCCAACCTGAGGTTCATTTATGTCTTGAGTGTGGTGGAGTGGATGTATTTGAGGTTCCCATATGAAACATTTGTTTTTGTCACACCCGAAAACAATGATCCTGTCGCTCATTAGCCTTGCTGTGGTGACGGAGAAGGTGGTGCCTCAAGTGAAACCAAAGTTAGCTTGTCCCGTGAGACGTGACTGGAGCCGCAGTCCCGTCTCAGCCAGATCACAGCCCCCTCCTACGCTACCGAACAAGATTTTGAGTAACACTACAAGTTACATCACTCTTTTCAGTGTTAAGGTGTTTGTGTTCCAGGCATTTTTTTTTTTTTTCTAAGTTGAGGAAAAAGCATTCCGTGGCAGGTTTTTGGCTCTTTGGTTTTGGTTCGGTACATGAAGTGGTAGATGGCTTTAATTCCCTGTGAAACACGAGATCAGCTGTGTGATGAGGAGAGTATACAAGGGTGATGAGGGGAACAGAAAGCTTTTTCTCTGGCCTATGGGTTTTTTCCCTAATGCTTCTTTCTTTGATTATGCATTCGTCATAAAGCTGATGACTTAATTCTGGAGGAAAGGGGGGCAGAGGGATTCAAAGCAAAAAGGTAGCTGCAAGAGAAGCATGCCACTCGAGTTTTCTGGTAACACTACACGACCTGACTTGCCCGACACTGCACAAACCAGAATCCTCTCTCGTTTGCCCCCTCAGCACATTAGACAAGCTGTCAGCTGCTAGATTCCTGCAGTCGAAGGGTCTGTCCCAACAGTGTAAGAAATAAATATTTTCTTCTGTGGTTTGTTCTGAACCAGTCGGAATGCACTTGAACTGACTCAAAAGGAGTATCAGCTGAAATCTATTTACAAATAGGAAATGCAGGGTGCTTTAACTCCATTAAGTGGGTGTCTGCATTATTTTATTTCCTCACAGAAGTAAGGTAGCTTTGCAGGTATCCTTAACTTTCTCTTGTTCAGGGAAATCCAGGATAGAACATACACTTGGCAGCTTTTGCTGTGAACTGGGGTCTGAAGCAACTTGCCTGTAGGTGGTGCCTGCTCTGTCTCTGTGGTCGGATGACTGAACTCTTGTTTCTGGCTCTCCCCAGTATCTGAGAGACCCCAGCATGCCTGTGTTGGAGGTGCTGGACAACTACGTCGAGGACGATCCCCACGACTCCTTGTCTGTTGTAGTTGGTGGAGAAGAAAGCCCAGCCTGTGGCAGCGGTTTGGACGCTCCAGCTCACTTGCGCAGCCTCGCCGGTGGAAGTGAAATAACTTAAGCGACGCCCCAGCGCGAGCGCCCGTACCAAGTCTTTACATGAAGCTCCCGTCAGCGAGTGGTGCCCTGTGGCTTTTGTCTCCAGACAAAACGCAGCCACTAACAAATCCTGAGCCAGACGTCGCTTCTGGAGAACAGCATGGATGCTGAGCCTTTGTTTAAAAGGGCTACATCAGCAACTGTTCTGCCAGAGAGACTTAACATGTGGAAGGTGAAAGGGAAACGAACACTAAATTGCCTTAAGCCAGAGAGGATAATGGTAACGTAACGATTTTATAACCATCTATTTCCCACCGCTTACTGAAGTGAGGCTTTGAGAAGTAATGGCACTTTATGGTAGGATGTAGTACAACGCGGGATTTTTCAGTGAGTCAGGAACTGCACCATGAATTACTCTTACGGTGGCTTTTGGTTTGTTGCTTGATTTGTGAAGGCCGTGTTGGCGCTCACTGTGTACGATAGCCGCCCCAGCGCGCTTTTCTGAACCTGTACGTACGCACCGTTTGTACAAACAGCAGTCTCCAAAGAAACGCTGTGGTGCTTCACTCCCCTCAGCATGAAGCCCTGCTGAGAGCTGCTCCCAGGAAGGGCTCCCGACACAGCCATGAGAAGCATTAATCTGCTCCTGCTGCAGCGAGACCGTTGGTCTCCACAGCAAAAGAGACTTGAGAATCACTTCGCTGAGAATTTATACAACATGTACCGGTCATTATCAGACACTAAAATCTCTGGTTAACCCTCAGATGAGTCCTGCAAAAGAAAGTTGACTGAAGGTTGTGTTTTGAGTCCCTTATAGTCTGCTTTAAGTTAAGCCTTACGTCACAATCCAGTGGGGCCTGAAAGGTGTCTAATAAAGCACAAATGAACCACTTCTGTACTAAAAAGGTGGTTTTTATTTGTTTGACTTTTTTTTCTTGGGTTTGATACAAGTTGTTTAAAAAAAAAAACCTACGCTTTTTCATTTTCAAATGACTTGAACAAGTTACTCAGGTCTGCTAATGAACCCAGCCGCTGTCAGAGCTGTGGGTTATCTGAGGTATCGCTGCTTCACCCCTTCCAGCAACACAAGACCAGCATGAAAAATCAGCAACATTTTTCCCCAAAAGCTCCATGAGACTGTTTCCTTGTGGAACTGGTCTAATCACTTGCAGTCAGGCCACGTGCCAAGACAATGCAGCTATCCGAGGCCTCAGTCATACTTCAGGTCTGCTCAAAGTTTGCAAGTCAGCCACAAGCTGCATGATCCCTGCTTTTAAGTTCATCCCTGTCCCTTTTCTATACCGCATACTGCCAACCAGCGAAGCAGCACAGGCTCGCAAAAGGAACACCCTACGTGCGTCACAGAGGTCATGGATGAGGCAGTTCACCATCTCCTGTGACTAATTAGCAACAGAGCATACAGCTTGCTGAATGAGCCCTACACTAGACTGTGTAACAGCAGTTACACAACAGGCCAAAGCTAAAAAGCCTTTTGTTAGGAGTCACTCAAGAGTTTTAGCTTCACACCCACCAGCTGTAGCAGGCCAAGGCTTTACCTAAAACGAGCCATCCTTATCCACCTCATCCCACGCTGGAACTACCTGTGGGGTCAGAGCAGACCTTGGGATTGTGAATGAAGCCTGCGTGGTTCTTGCACTACCCGTGTTTTCAGCTTAGGGTACGGGAAGAGACACTACCCCAAAGCGGTCTCTCTTCCCAGCAGCCGCATACAGCCCCTGACCGCTCCCGTTCTCTCAAACCAGAAGGGATGGCCAAGAAATACTTGCAAGAAAGCAAACTCTGGGTTCAAATTGGAGGTAACCTCAGAAAGCAGCTCTTGCCCGGCTCTTAAGACCACTGTTTTCTACCAGGGCCCTTGCAGTAAAGCGGGCTGGAGGAGTCCTTCTGGAGTCATGCTGTTCCAGTGCTACGCACGGTGCTGTAACAGGGACCAGTGACAGGCCACGCTTGTTTCTCGCTTCGTAAAAAAGCCAACAAGCCAACCCAAGCTCCTCAGCAAGTGACAGATCTGAAAACAAAACCCCCGGCTTCACCGCTGTATGACTGCCTTGTGAAGTTCACTCTTTTGAGAAGGTGAGAGAGAGTTTATTGCCGTTTCCTGAAGTTACAGCCCAACAGATCCCTTATGTACACAGCTGTGACTAACACCAGCGAGCGTCTCCTAACTCACTGCAGGGCGGTGAAGTCGGGTTGGCGCGAGTCCAGCCAGCAGCAGCACAATTTCAGCCGCAGGATGTGCTTCACATTCTATCCGCTGGAGAGATTCCCACAAGGGAGCAGTTAGGTGACTAACGGGATACAGTAACCGTGCACATTCTGCAGTTTTAACACCATCTGGTCAGCGACCTTGTCACATGGAAAGTTATAAAAGCCTTTAGACACAAGGTAGATGCAAACGCTTTTAAAAACCACACAGAACTCGTCAGGAAGTCGCCAACAACAAGATGAATATACCAGATCAGCCCAAAGCTGTAAAACATCACCGTTCTCCCTTTCTGTACACTCCAGCTAGAAGAAACTGGATTTTGGTAATGGAAGAATTTCCCTAAAGTGCCCATGAAATTTAGGAGATAAATACATTTTGTAACGGGGGCAAATGGCAGTCCTAAAACTGGTGATTATTAAGACTGTGAGCAATAACCACATCTACTATATCCCCACTGGAAACCCTGCCTTTTAAATATTAAAAGTAGTAGCTAGCAGGATAACTGTTCACGTATCGGCAAAGAGCTTCCCCTGAAGAAGGCCATGCTAGCAGAACTTTAAAGGTGTTCGTCTGGCTCTCGTTTATTCTTGGTGTTACCTTAAGAATGACTGGCATCTTTTTTTTTTTTTGAATTCTAATATCAAATAATAGTAAATACATACTAATGGGCATCTATTACACCGAACAGCACGAAATCAGTTCCAAGGACTGCAGCACTACCGAGTGTCATCTGTGCCGTAGCAATCCGAAGTCAAGGCGAGATTGATTTGCCATGCAGAACCTGCTAAATACAGGGCCTTGTTTGGAAATTCGTAGCCTTTTACCCCAAAATAGCTACTTTATATTTTTTCTGAACAGTTGCATAAAATTCTTAACATCAGTTTGATATCTCAGCCTACAACAGAATTTACCCTCGCTACGTAAAGGCTTAGCCGGGTCGCTTCCACGCACTGACCGCTCCTTCGGGTTTCGCAGGCAGCCCTTGCTGGCGGCCCTGGTGAAAGAGGCTCGGGCCCACCTACGCATAAAAGGTAACAACCCCTTTTACGGGCACGGGCTTTATCCGGCTCGTTCACCGCTGAAGTCTCTGAAACACGTGAAGGTTTGGAAGGTGAAGTCTTGGGAGCTGACGGAAACCCGTGTGTTTGAAGAAATAAGCCAGAAGATTCCAGAAAGAAAGCCTGACATTCCCTTTTTAAGATATATACAGTCTTATGTACATATTCACAAACCTGTCCTGTGAAAAGAGGGAGTGGGTTATGGAAACTGTAATTTGTCTCTGTTCGTAGAGTTTAGAAAGCCAACTGAGAACAAACAAACGGAAATCTATCTACATACGTAGTACAACATAGCAACTATGGCATAGGCAATGCTGTATGTGATCTCTCATCCCCATAACTCTTCTGTTCTTCCAAACTTGTAGATCAAGGTACTAAAGGGGGAGGAAAAAAAAAAATAAAAATCAGACCATACATAAGGTGGAAAAGGTAATTTTTAAGTATCCTTATCCTCTTACACTATCTACGCTGCCAATCTACATCCCTCCAGTAACCCCAACTTTCATTCAGGTCAGTGTATCTGGGTCTTGTACTTACATTTCATTCCCTACGCACTGCTACGAGTATGAGATCCAGCTGAAACAACTGCTCAAATCAAAACTGAAAGCCAGTCTCCCAGAAAAAGCAGCTGCCCTTCTTAAAGGCAAAATCCTGGTTTTTAAGAGATTCTAGGACCAATCCACGGAGTTAGAGAGCAGCAAGTCTCATCCTGGCACCTGGCCATCAGCTGAACATGACGCGTCACGCTAGGGTGGAATCTCAGCACTTGTATTTTCACAAGCAAACCAGAAAGAATATTGATCCTGTGGTGGATAAGCGAGATCCAAATCACAATTTGATTTCCCAAATTCCTTTTATAAGGTTGGATGCAATTACATATTGTCATAAATAAAAGAAGAGGTTGAGGGAACACAACCAAGCGTGGTTTCCTTTTTGTTCCTTATACTTTGAATTATTTTGTTCTTATAGCCAGCAAAGAAGGGCACCATCACGCTAAATCCTAAGAGAATGAAGAGGGAGGGAAATGAGAAATACTGACACAGAGAACAACAGTAACAAGCTAAACTTGGGGAATTAATTAACCTGAGCAATTAACGGCCAACACAGCACCTTAAACTAAGCAAAACTAAACCGGTGGAGCAACAACCAGGGCTGAAGCACAAGTCCTGAAGGAGACGCACAATTCGGGGAACATAGACACGATGGAACAACCCTGATGGAAGAGAATCTGATTCAATCAAAACAAAAATTTGGGATAAGGACATTGAGAAGGGCATTGCTGACTGACCCAGGTCTGGTCTAAGGAAAGGAGTCTGTGGCAACGCGTGGACTTATCCAGTGTTACTGCCTAAAGCGCGTGGTGGGATAAAAACCAAAGACCTTGGCGTAGAAAAATACAAATAAGGTTGTAATTTGTCTCACAGTTCATACCTAGAAAAGAGATTTTAGAAAACAAAAGGAAACAAACCTAAAAATGTACTCTGCATGCAGAGTACAACAGAAACTATGGACAGACACTTTCAGAAACAAAAGTGCTTCAGGAGTTCCTCAAACTACTTAAAGTAAGACTAAAGATTTCAGGCCTGGTGAAACTGTTCTCAAAAGGCTGCCTTCATCAGCACCCCACTTCAATCGCGTGCAAGGCTACAGGAGAGATCTAGGACCTGCCTTTTTCTGCAAGAACATAACTGACTTTCCAAACAGGGAAGCACAGCGGAGCCAGCCGACCGAGCTCGTGGCAAAGCAGCCAGTACGCTACTAGAAGGAAAACCGTCAGCGCAGCGATTTAAGCAGGTAAGAACTTGCAAAAGAAGGTTATGTGAACTTTTTCAGTGACTGATCTCAGAACTTACACTATTTAATGCTTTCGTTGACTTTTATTAATTGATAAAGTTATGGGTTGCGGAATGCATTGTACATACGGGAAACGTAAACCCAAAGTTATTACAGATACAGATCGTTTCAAAGTGTCGTAGGATACACTTAATGATACTAAGTGAAATAAAAGAAATCGATTTAAGTGTAGTATTACAAAACCTACCATCATGCTCTTCGGAAAAAAAAAAACCAAACATCACTCTTAAGTGAAAGCTCATCCAGCAGAAACAAATCTAGCCTATCATTTATCAGATAATTGAACCATTGGCATGAAACAGTCAGGAAAAGGGCGACAGGATCCCCCACCCAGGTGCCGTAAGGATATACGCCAAGGTATCTGTAGTACAGAGATGAAAGCATTACTGCCATCATCCAAAGAGACCGACAATCTCTCACCCAGAATACTGTCTATACCCTTGGTCTTCCACACTCTAGAGCTGTGGATTCAGTGAGACCGGAAACAGCTGGGCTGACAGAAGCACAAGGGGGATGAAGGGCCTCTCATGGGCCAAGAAGGGGCAAATAACATATTAGCATATTGTTTCTAAGCTCTGGAGCAAAGGGAGTAGAAAAAAGCAGCAGAATAAAAACAGAAAAAAGACAATTTTAAGAAACAGTTTGATTAGTTTACGCACCGAGTAACAACACATCAGTTCTCTGCCCAACATCAGTTTACTCAGTGACCCGAGAGGGCCCTTTGGCTTACATGCCACCCTCCCCAGGAAAGGGTCAGGGTGCAGAACAAACTGAAACACGGAGGGTCCTGCACTGAGAGCAGCAAACTCCACACCATGGAAGGTCCAAGCCTGGAGTCAGCGTCCAGCCTGCAGAACTTATTTGCCAGAAGTACCAACGTGCATGGAAGCAGGTAAGCCAGCTACCCCTTTGGCAGGGGCGAAATCTGCCCAGATGACTTACCTGAAAAATATCAACGCATTTTGGAAAAACACTGCTAATCCAGGGTAAACATTAGTGTCTGCAAAGTAAGCAACAAAGGACACATTAAGTTCTTTTGTATTGGAAGGTGTATTTGAACCACTGTCCATAGTATCATCCTCGGACTACAAAGCTGGATGGTGTGGCTCTGACAAGAACAGGCCGCACACTTCCGTTCTTCTGGATTTGCTGTCTTTTGGCTGATGGCAAAAGTACTTCTCTGTATGTGAAAATAAACAAACTTACTCTGTGTCACGTATGCTCCAAAAAGAATCCACATGGAAGCAATAAGTGAACCAAACATCAACATAAAGCCAATGAAGAGCCAGACACGAGCACCTGCAGGAAACAGGAAAACCTCTGAGAGCCACGCAGACTATTATCCATAGTGACAGACGATCCAAGCTACTACTCTGTTATAACACAGCGTGTTACCTTGCTGAAGGCACCAAGGGAAAGGATTGAACCCTGTGTCGAGGACAAGATAAACCAAAGTTTGCCTTCTCTAGTAAAACACATCATAGCTGGATTCCCTGTATCGAAGGGAGCAGGCACAACCACCCAAAGTTTCCCCTCATTTGTGGGGAATGCCTTTAACACCATTTAACACAACTTGGAGTGGACTAAGGATGAGGTACTTTGCCAAAGCTGTCGTGTTTCTGAGCTAAAGGTGGCATTCCGACAGGCTGTGCAAAACAAACGCTTCCCGTGTTTGCTCTGGAAAGGCGTTTTCAGATGGGCAGCCCCTACCATAGCTGGACATTACCTGCTGAAAAAAGGAAGACACCACCATTGAAAATAATCGACCTGCTCACTCAGGGGAAAGGAAAAAAAACTTCTAAGCAAAGATTCTCTTGAGCTGATTTGTGAATGACACACAAAGAAGCGTCGTACGCTAGTTCAAGATCAGTAAATCCTGCCAGATCTCCGGTGAGGCATGCTACAAATCACACACAAATGTAAACAGATGCTGGGATCCACATGGGAATTACGAAGGAAAGCAGAGAGAGGAGAGCGGGCCCACAGGCACCACACGGTAGGTGACATACAGAGGAAACAGAATGTTTCCGACACGTTCTCCAGTAAGGAACGTTCGCTCTACAGCCTACCACAAGGCAGAAATTTATTTCTCCCAGCAGCTATACAGGATCTGCAGAGGAAAGTTTAGGTATTCAAGATAAACAGAAGTCGAATTTTTCTGAGTTTGCCTTTTTAACAAAAGCAGCACTTGTCTCCAAGTGTTAATTCTGTAAAGGAGTTAACCTCACACAAGTTCTCTCCTACTCCTTTACTTCCGATTATTATTTCCTTAGCTATCTCTGATGAAAAAAACCAAACCCAACACCTAAATAAATAATGAAGTCTTTCAGCTCAGCACGTCTTTTAGAGTTAATTTACCTGTTCTTCCTAAACATCCGTCGCTGTAGCTGTCTCCTCTCACCTGTGCATTCGATACAGCATTAATCCTAGGAACAAAAAAGTGTGTATGCTTCAGATTATTAGAAAATCAATTTAGAATAATAAGTAAAAAGGTAGCTTTTTTTAAGATGCATCCAATTCTGGGAAAATTACTTGGCATTCAGTATAATCACATATTATTACATGTCCCTTAATGGAAGGATTTCAGCTGGATTCCAGGGAAACCCCCTATTTGTTCACAGGTTTTACTCACATTTTTACATTAACTGACCTGTATGATGAAGGAATTGCCCTTTTTAGTGACTGAAATATTCCTGGTCGCTTTCTGACTGTTTAAACTTTTTTAAATAGCTAAAGCTACTTCACAGGAACAGTAGCAGCCAGCAACGCAGCACTCATGATTATGATACAACTCGCTTTCCTTCACAACGAATAACCTAAGTGTTCAAGTGAGAGACACTCTGCAAGGAGGGACAATACATTTTCTTCAAATTAGTTACACTGCTGAGGGGAAAAACTAAAAGAAAACCCAAAAACTCTCCGACACCAAGTGTTAAGAAGGTCTTGCACACCCAAATGCAGCCTTTTCTCTCACCAATACTGTCCAATTCAACAAAAGCTATTACTTCTCCTTCAAGCTTGCCACACTTACATCTTTATAACAATAGCTGTGATGCTGTTACCTCTCTCATTTGAGGAAGTTTTGGGCCAGACAGCTGTAAAAATTATTTTAAAACAGGAAAATGCAGTCAAGTGTTTTATATTGGGGTAAGCAAGTGGGCAGCATTCCATTCCTATCGATCTAGGAATCTAAACCCTTACTGTAGACAGCCACTTGCACCAAGGCAGGTCTGCTTTCCTACATTCAGCCAAAGAGTGTAGGAAAAGCAGTTTACCCTACATAAGTGGCAGGAGGGGGGGCCAACAGAACCATGAATAACCAGACTACCATCAGAAACAAAGGCCACAGATGAAAGAAAAAAGGCCTTTACACTGCTGTACAAAAAGGTACAACAAAATTACTCATGAGTAATTTACAACCAAGTGATTCAAAGATTTATCGTACACCATACTGTCTAGAAAAACCTCTATTTAACAGCTCATGTGTATTTTATGAGAACTCCCTTTATACACACTTACATGAAAAAAGCTAGTGTTGAAAACACCCCACAGGTATGGAACGCGTGGTTCATTTGCTCCGGCTTAGGGTAAACTACTGCAGCATCTATCATTATCCACCAACCTGTGAAAAACTAGAAGTAAAACAGACGACTATCATGAGGCTGGAAAGGCAGAGACAGACAGGCAGGCAAAACGTGGCAACCCTTCACTGACACCACTGGTTTCATTATCTCCTAACACGTATAAACTATTCTGGAAGTCATTAGCTGTAAGTTGGACTCTAAGTCTGTTTGACAGGCAAGCTCTGCACACACCGTAACGCTGATGTTTTCAGAGCAGCATTCGGGAATCGGTCACGTTTTCTCTTCAAATTAACTACCAACGTAGGGCTAAACTCCCTGTACAGCTTTAAGAACAAGAATCCAGATTCTAAACATACACGAGAGACAGACCACGGATAACACTGGGGTTCTAACGTATCTAATCATGCCAAAAATCCACTAGGAATTTCAGTTTAAAGAAGAGGTAGCAGAACTGGTACAACATCATCAGACAAAATGCAAAGTTACGCAACCTGTAAAACAGCTGCTGAACAATTACACTTCAAAAAAAGTTAAAAGAAATACACTGGTTTGAGGGACAGTTAAAGAGCGAACCCCCACCATGTATAAAACAAAAACGTAACTTTGGCCCGTTTCCAAATTTGTCCGCAAGGTTGTGATTCGCATCCTCCCCAAACTTACCAGGACGCCCGCAACGATGGAAGCGATGGCGTTTCTTCTTTCGCTCCAGTCAATACACTCACATTCCGGCCACCGGAAGTTGTCTAGGAACCCTGCCATCTCCACAAAGATTAGATTGCCCTCCTTATTTTGGACTTATACATGAATTCTTCCATTAACAACTGTGTCCTAAATACCTGAAACACATCCAAAGATGCACTCAGTACAAAAGAGTAAAGTCTGGAGATGTTTGACAACCGGTGTGAGCAATCTTTACAACGTGAGGGGCTTTTCGGGGGGGGCTGGGTGTTTTGGGATTTTTGTTTTGGGGTTTTTTTCCGAATTAAAAATTCCATATTCTCTATGGATTCTACATTGAGCTATATTCCAAAGAAGAACCTATCCTTACAACCAGAATTACAAAATAAAATCATTGCACGACCTAAAAGCTTATGTGTTACATATAAATTATGAAACAGAAAATAAACTAAATAGAATGTACTATTGGACATCAGGAAGAATCCTTCCCAGAGAGGGTGGTGAGGCACTGGAACAGGTTGCCCAGAGAAGCTGTGGATGCCCCATCCCTGGAAGTGTTCAAGGCCAGGCTGGATGAGGCTTTGAGCAACCTGGTCTAGTGGATGTGGCTTTGAGCAACCTGGTCTAGTGGTCCCTGCCCATGGCAGGGGGTTGGAACTTGATAGTCTTTATGGTCCCTTCCAACCCAAACCATTCTGTGATTTTACTGTTCAACTGTATGAAACAAAAATAAAAGCATGCAAAAAAGCAGGGGCAAAAAGCAGGTATTTCAATCTAAGTTTCATCTTCAAACCATCATCCTCTCTCTGGCATTAGCAGTTAAAAAAAAGGCAAGATACACACAGCAGGGCTCCATACACGGATCAGAACTTTCCCTTTGAGTCAGGCCAAGGAACCCTGCATAAGATACCCCTATTTCCAGACTCCAAATAAGACAGACAATATAGCACCTTTCTAACACAGGGAAAAAGGAATCAACTCTACCAACTAACACCAAGGGCAAAGAACACCCCGCTTCAGAGCGAGGATCGCACAAAACTTCAAATGCAGCAAGACCAAAGTACCTGGTGTTACAAAGTGACTACTGAAACAACACAACTCTCCAACAACTTAGCGAGGCAGTGGCTGTAAAAGATTCTGCGCTACGCTACATCTCTTCCCAAGCCGTAAGACGATTAGCTGGAGTGCCACAAGTTAAAATATTTCAGTTTTCCGTTCAGCACTGACTCATAGCCACTCTTAATGCCTTTCTATTTTGGTTTAGTATTGTCAACTTCTGTATTTTCACCATCTGCCATAAATCATTTCCAGATACTCGTTAAAGGCTAACAAGGGACAAATGTCCCTTAGGATTATATTACAGGGAAGACTGATGTAGAATCTTTTTCTGGTTAATAATGGTAATTAGATGTCTACACTAAGTAGTTAAGTAAAAATAAATAAACAATCAGGGTTTGCCTACACTACAAACACATGGCACCTCCTAAGGTAAAAAAAAAAAAAAAGAAAAGTGTCCTTCCAAATCTAGTTCCAGAAGTCCATCCATGGTTCCAATGCTACCTTAAGGCATTAAAATCAATCATTCAATTCCAAAATTATTTCACTTTTGTAGACTATCTGGGCTCTGCCATGTAGTTATTTCTCTAGACTACCCCTTTACCTAGCAATTTGCAGGTCCCTATTCCTTCCAGAACTTTCACACACAATTGCCATCACAGATTTACGACTGCGCCTACAGCCCTTCCTTCCTCCCCACTCTTGAAATGACTCCATCTGTCCCTCTTCGAGCCCTGAACGTCTCTTCCTCATCCTGCATCAATCCCTTCCCCTCCCACGCTGGGACATGATTCATGGTTCCCATTGCTGGTTCTCACCCTGTGGTGCAACTGGACGCAGGCAGAGCGAACATGCTGCGCTATTTCTTTGCCCCGCTGAGCGCAACGGTGGTTACGTCAAACCTACCACCGTTATTACCTGGCCTGTAAATACAGATCCTCGGAACGGCATGGCTGAAGTTTCTTCAAAGCTGTATTTTCCTTTGGAATTTTTCCCCGTAATGGACCACTTGAATAGTGTTAACATTGCCAAATGACATCACCTCCTTCAAACAGAGCACAAGGTTCTACCGCCAATTCAGAAAGCCGGTCAAGAAAAGCCACGGGATAAAACCATACATCAACAACAACAGAAATTATGTTTCCACTCTCCACTTGGATTCCATCCAGAGGGACTTCGACAGGCTGGAGCACTGTGTTGACAGGAAGCTCAAGAAGCACAAGAAGGGGAAGTGCTGAATTTTGCATCTGAGGAGGAACAACCCCACGCACCAGTACATGCTGGGGGCCGCCCAGCTGGGAAGCAACTTGGCAGACAAGGACCCAGAGGTCCCGGTGGACCTCAAGCTGACCATGAGCCAGTGACATGCTATTCAGGGCTCCCAGGGTTACTTGCCACCAGGTTGAGGGGGGTGATCCTTCCCCTCTACTCAGCACTGGTGAGGCCACACCTGGAGTCCTGCGTCCCATTATGGGCTCCCCAGTACGATGGAGACCTGGACACACCAGAGAGCACCCAGCAAAGAGCCACGAAGATGGTGAAGGGACAGGAGCATCTCTCCTGTGAGGGAAGGCTGGGAGAGCTGGGACTGTTGAGCCTGGAGAAGGGAAGGCTCAGGGCATCTCACCAGTGTATGTAAATACCTGGAGGGGGGGTGCAAAGAGGAGGGAGCCAGGCACTTCTCTGCGACAGGCCCAGAGGCCTCGGGCACAAGGTGAAACACAGGAGTTTCCTCTGAACATCAGGAAACACTTTTTCCCTGTGAGGGCAACCGAACCCCGGCACAGGTTGCCCAGGGAGGTTGTGCAGTCTCCATCCCTGGAGATGCTCAGAAGCCGGCTGGGCACAGGGCTGGGCAGCTGGCTCTGGGTGGCCCTGCCTGAGCAGGGGGGTTGGACCAGGTGCCCTCCGGAGGTGCCTTCCAACCTCATCCCTTCTGGAATACGTAAGAAATAGCCTGTTAAATTCCTGAATGACTTAACAAAAGAAGTCATCTTATTTCTACAAAATTGCTGTGGTTCAGAAGGCTGAAACAAACTGAAAAAAAAAATCCCTTCTATGACGTAAAGGGGATATCTCGTTTGTTTTGCTAGCTAATATAATTAAGCCAACTTCCAATCCAAACACTGACTAGCGTTTATCTCAGTAAAACCCTCTCAACTTTGCAAAGTCAGTTGTGATAAATGTTATGGATACCAAACACCACATAAAAATCTGTCTTAATTACTAAGCATTTTTTGAACATCAGGTAACAAACCAGAGGCATTTCGCTCACTTCAAAAATCCGAGACAACATCTAAATACTTAATTGTATTGGATATCAAACGAGTTTTCACAACTGCACGAGTGACAGACAAGTGAAGCTAGGGAGACTAGAAAAAGTTGATTTTTTTTTTTTTTTAATACCTTCTAAGATACAGGGCAACTTTCTGCCAAAGCATATTACTTTATCAGAAAGTGGTTTTGGTGCTTGATACTGGCTTACAAACCTCTACTTTGCCTTAACCTCACCTTTGTGCTCAGGAGAGAAGCACCCTATATCATGTGAATAGGTGAGAAAGACTGCCAGCAGACAGTGGCAGCAAAGACTAGTAACTGACAACACAATTCTCCTGTTTCCCTGGAAGAAGTTTGCAAACTTGGAGAAACAAGGCGCAGAAAATTTGCAACAGAACACAAGAAGTCTGGAGTTATTTCTACAAGTGTCTAACGCTAGAAACAGCTTTGATTGCACAAAGAAAGCTTAGTGCTAGAGCAGGCATGATCTACAGTAAAAGGAAACAGAGGTGCTAACGCCGCTGCCCTTTTTCTAATACGATGTAAACATGAACTGCTGCCATTCAGAATGCTGCAAAGGAGCATTTCATAGAGGTATTTCAAGAAACTCTCACTTAACAGTAAAAATGATTAAACATTTGTCTCACTACCGACATAGCTCCATATATGTACAGACTTCACAGACAACAATTCATCCACCCTGAAGTCCAGCTGACTACTTTGCTGCGCTCTCATTTAAAAGGTTAGCACGGTGCCGGTCAGGCTTACTGGCAGGATGAAAAGTACAGAGACAACCCAAATGCAACAGGCTGGTCACCCTCTCCCTGGGTGTTAAATAAACACCTAGCTCTTATACAATACAGGTTGTAATATGCTAGAGGGAAGGGGTACACCGACATGCTGGAGGGAAGGGATGCCATCCAGAGGGACCCTGACAGGCTTGAGGCGTGGGCACATGCAAACCCCATGAAGTTCAACAAGGCCAAGTACAAAGTCCTACACATCAGTTGGGACAAGCCTCAATATCAATACAGACTTGAGGACAAATGGGATGAGAGCAGCCCTGTGGAAGAAAAGGACATGACCCAGCAATGTGTGCTTGCAGCCCAGAAAGCCAGGCGTATCCTGGGCTGCATAACAAGCAGCAGGTTGAGGGAGGGGATTCTCCCATTCTGCTCCACTCCATGAGACCCCACCTGGAGTCCTACATCCAGCTCTGGGGCCCTCAACACGGGAAGGACATTGACCAGTTGGATCGAGTCCAGAGGAGGCCACAAAGATGCTCCGAGGGCTGGAGCACCTCTGCTATGGGGACAGGCTGAGAGAGTTGGGCTTGTTCAGCCTGGAGAAGAGAAGGCTCCGGGGAGACCTTATAGCCCCTTCCAGTACCTGAAGGGGCTACAAGGAAGCTGGGGGGGACTTTTTACAAGGGCCTGTAGTGACAGGACAAGGGGTAATGGGTTTAAATTGAAAGTGGGGAGGTTTAGATTGGACATAAGGAAGATACTATTTACTGAGGCTGGGGAGACGCTGGAACAGGTTGCCCAGAGAAACTGTGGGTGCCCCATCCCTGGAAATGTTCAAGGCCAGGCTGGATGAGGCTTTGAGCAACCTGGTCTAGTGGAAGGTGTCCCTGCCCATGGCAGGGGGGTTGGGACTAGATGGTCTTTAAGGTCCCTTCCAACCCAAACCATTCTATGGTTCTATGACAATGTTCCATATATATATATATATATGCACTTCTCAACACCCCTACCAAAAAAGAAAGGAAGAAAATGAGCTACATTTCAGCTGGGAAAGACCAGTGGCATTGTGAAGCTGAGGC